TTTTAACATTTACTACAGTTTTTCTTCAAATAAAGTTAGTTAGTCAAACAATAATATGGATTAATAAGAAACCCTTTGTTTTTTTTTCTACTTCTATGTCATTCAAACAGCTCCTCCAATTAGTGGAACAATATCAACACAAAAACCATTAAATATTAGTAAACATTTCAAAATGTGGGCAGGTTTGTTGTCATTGTGAGCACATTAGTTCTTCCATCAAACATACATTTTGATTTTCGTAGCTGAATTCTGGCAAATTTAGTACCATAGTCACACATTGGTGACATTGGGAAAAGTATTCAACGTCCATCTGTCTCACTTGTTTTTGCCAAACCAACAGAGCTTAGCTGAAATGACAGTGAGTATTAGCAGGTACAAACAGGAAGTTAAATCTGTATTTGTAAGATGATATAATAAATAGCAAACTACAAAGTAAACTGTGTATAATTATATCGGTAAATGTTCTTAATCCCCGAGAGAGTTTAAAGAAAACCTATTCTTGTCACAGCTATTGTCCTATAGGTTTAACATCATGTGAATGGAAGTCCTCTTTCCTGCTGTCTGCCTGTCTGCCGTTGTGCCTGCGAGCGGTTTTAACTCACACACATTGTACCTGGTCAATAGTTAAAGACGAGCTCTCCCTTTAGTGTGTGTGTGTGTGTGTGTGTGTGTGTGTGTGTGTGTGTGTGTGTGTGTGTGTGTGTGTGTGTGTGTGTGTGTGTGTGTGTGTGTGTGTGTGTGTGTGTGTGTGTGTGTGTGTGTGTGTGTGTGTGTGTGTGTTTAAAAGTCAGTGAAAGCCAACACCTTCTCCAGGGAAGACACTTAGATTCATTCACACATGCATTGTCCATGCAGGTCAGCACACACCCATACGATCGTATGACACGCAGTAACCGAGGGGAATATCTATCCTGCACGCTTCATATTCTGCAGTAGGAGGTATTGAGTTTTGACGCCTGTGTGTGTTATGTAGCCTACATATTGAGTTTTTGTCACGTTGTTGCTAATTCGAAAGAGAAAGGATGTGTGTATGAATGTCAGAGTTTAACCTGATACACAGTGTTTTAGGTCAGGTTACCTGTAGATTATGATACATTACCGGTTTGGTCACCAGTCAATAACTCCTTAACTAGGCTGAGTCAGCAAAGGAGCCTCCATTAATTTAGATCTACAGGAGTCAGTTACCCTTTTTGAGATACATCGTTCATGCGGCTTGGGAGTAGTTCAAAATGCAATAGAAAATTCTAATTAGGGCTGTGTGATTATGGCAAAAATCGTAATCACGATTATTTTGGTCAATAATTGATATCACGATCATTAAAAACGATTATCCATTTACTTTGAAAACATCCATATATTGAAAAAAAAAATGTGAACAGTATGTTTTTAACAGTTGATTACCCTGAACTTTAAGTATAATTCAACTGAAAAAACAATAAAAAAAATAAAAAAATAACATTTTTTTTTTTTTTAATAAAAATAATAATCGTTTTATTTCGATTACATTGTTTTCGTAAGCCAAAATCGTAATCGAGATTAAAATACGATTAATTGCACAGCCCTAATTCTAATTATTATGGGTTTTCATTAAATACTGTTATGCTAACATCAACAGACTGGCTGTATATGTGATATCTGGGAAGAATACTCAAATACATCTTCAAAACCTAATGGGGTAAGTGCTTGAAACAAAAATCATCAATGAGAGTACTCTGGAAACAAACTACACAATGGATCAGAGCTCCCTTGAGTTGGATTATCCCAAAAAACAATGTATGGACTCAATACAATGACAAACCCATCCTCAGAAAACCCGCCCTCTTCCTGTATGTTCTCTTTTATTTTGTTTTCCTTTTTTACAACTTCTGCTACGGAAAATATCTGCATTCCAAAATCCTGCTTTATAATCAAATGTTGCTTTTCGTTAGTTTACGTAACCTGAGAATACTGCACCTGCCCACGAAGCCAAAGGGAAATGTATGAATATAAGACAGCATCAATATTTTACCTGATGCAGAATCTGGAGGTGTTTGCTCCTATCTGTCCAAAGTGTCTGTGTGTGAGTGTTTACGTATGTGTGTGAAAGACGAAATTGAGACTGTCCGTCATCTGTCACACATCACATGCTCACTCAGGCGCTCATAGCACAAGCCACCAAGTGGAACGCCAAATACACACCACACACACACACAAACACACACGCATACACACGCATACACACGCATACACACAGACACAATCTCTTTATACAATTCTTTATGTTTTGCACTCGTCCCTCTTTTCCCTTGTTGTAAAATTCCAACTTCCATCCCTGCATTGTTTTCCTAGACAGGCTCAGATATATGAATGCACGGTTGTCTTGTGTTTGTGCGAGAGTGTAGGGGGGGGGGGGGGGGGGGGGGGTTTGGAAGATGTGTTAAAAGCAGAGCTGTGAATCTTTCATGATGTCTGATGCAGAGACATGAGAGAAATACAGTCAGCGATAGAGGTGAGGAGGAGA